GTAGGGTCTCACTGAGTTGCTTAGTGCCTCGCTTTTGCTGAGGCTGGCTTTGAACTCTACTGGGCCCTGTGAAACATTTTCTTTAAAAAAGAATAAATAGGTCACAGTGGCAGAGTAGCAAGAGTGATATTCAAAGCATAAAGTAAATCACTGTTATACTTTCTCCTAGTATTCTGATTTCACTCTCCCTCTCTAGCATAAATTCATCTTAAAACTTCCTCCAGTTCGCTAATTCATTACTCTTTTTAATGTAATAAATCAAGTTTAGTCAACAAAGATTTGTTGACTGGGTATGTCTTGTCCCTACTTAAGATGTTTATACTGTGATACAGTCAATAATCTCTTGAGTTAAGAGTCAAACTTTTCCAGACTTAATATAAAAATTTCCACTTAGTTCATGCACATTAGATGAGATCCTACCTGTAGGCCAATTCCAGCCACCACCATGTTTATGGAACTCTCATCCTTGGCTATTTCAAAAACGGTATTGTAGGCCAATAGCTAAAACAGAGGGATTACATTTAAATCTATAGAGAAATATAAAAACTACTAGAATTAGGGTGAAGTACTTACTATTCCTACAAATCTAAACTTCAAGCTTCCAAAAATTGTCACCATCAACCTCTGTCCACATGTTAGTTGCTATACAAAAAGTGCAATGCATAGAAAGTATTTACTTTGGTTCATCCATTAGAAATTATGTTCTGTTCCTATTTGAGTGTACCCAGTGTGACTTTATAAACATGCTCAGGGATTTCCTTTCTCACTTCCACTCTACTCCTGCCAATAAACAAGCTCCCTGTTTGTTTTCAGCCTTGCTGCCTCTGCTGACTGCTTTGGATCAGTGTCTTTCTGAGCTGCCTGTAATGCTAACAAGGGCTCATCTCTGGGCACCTTTTCCTTGCTAGGGTTTCTGAAGGAGGTCTCACTGGATGAGAACTTTGGAAAGTTTTGTTGACTGGGTATGTCTTGTCCCTACTTAAAATGTTTTATTGTGCTACAGTCAATAATCTCTTGAGTCAAGAGTCAAACTTTTCCAGACTTAATATAAAAATTACTCCACTCTGGGGCCTGATTCCTTCCGCAGTTACATACTGTTCAGTGCTCATTGCACATTTTCCCAAGTGGATTCGTGTACAGGGTTTTCCATACCAACATTACTTACAATGTTACTGAAACCTCGGTCCTTGTCCCCGATGCCAATCCAATAACCAGGATAGGTTTTAAGAAAAAGGAAAAAGAAATTTATTGCTTGCTAGCAAAGGAGAAACACAGGGAATTCCTGTCTCAGAGACTGTAATTCTGTGCATCAACAAGAACAGGGGCTGCGGGGAGGGGGGGGGACTTTTAAAGAAGTGATTCAACATTTCATGTGTTCTCTGATGGAATTGTAATTCACTTGTTAATTTGGGAGACAGTCATTTCTGAGATCTTCAGGTGCCATCCCCAAAGTCTGGATTACTTCATTTCTCTAGTGGCTGTGTATTCCAGGGCAGATAAATCTGCTTAAAATGGGGAAGAAAGGTAATCCTGTTTCCCCTGAGATTAGGGAGAAGGAGAGATTAGGAGCAGCAGTGAAAGAGAAGAGAAAGAAAGGTCCTTTTCAAAAATAAAATAGTAGCACAGCAGCAAGGGCTATCTACATTCAAAGCATAAAGTGGATCACTATTACAATAAGAGTGAGTTAATTAATTGAAACCACCTAAATGCTAATATAGGATATTGGCATCAAATCAATATTGGTATCAGATTTGCCATTTTCATCTAGAGTTTCCAAAGTTTCAATTCTGAGCCAAAGCTGCTTAACTTCCCCTAAGAACAGGTGCCTGCTGTCAACCCCACCCCAGCTTAAACTCCTAAGCAGTTTATGAGATTCCTCTTGGGGCCTATAAAGCTGCTCTATGAGTGCTGACTGGCTGCTTCTCTCTTCAGAAGTACAGCCTTGTTGGTATATCTCATGTTACCAACAATAAATCTCTTGCATGGGATTCCGGTGTGTGGCCAGGTCTTTGGACTTTGCATGGACTCTGGGAGTATCCTTTCATAGGGGATGATTTAAAAAATTACTTGGGCCAGGGATATAGCTTATTTGGTAAAGTGCTTGCCTTACATGCATAAGGTCCTAAGTTCAATCTCCAGTACCACCCCCCCCACACACACACACAAAAAAAAACCCTATATGATTTTGACTGTTTTATTTTGCTTCTTTAGTAAACATTTTAAAATAGAAACTCTTTTTAAAACCAGAATTACAAGGCACTTTATTAAAATGAGAAAAATACACAGTAATCTTAAACCAACAACTATTTTTATATTTGATGAAGAACACTAGAAACATTCCTTCTGAGGCTCAAAATAAAACAAAAAATTTTTGTGTGTTTTTTTTTTTTTTTCCAAAGATGTTTGCAGGATGCTCACTTTCACTCTTCATTGTTTATACCTGCTGGCCCCAGGGTCCTTCAGTTCCCTTGTTCCTATCAGCATCAGTGCAGGTACTGGGTGGACTGGTGTCATAGGGACTTACACTGCACTTCCTAATTTGGCAAATAGTTGTGGCAAAAGCATCTGTGATCC